CAGCACCTCCATGTCCTTCTGGGAGTGAAGGGTTTAGTTTCACCCAAGTTTGTTCAGCACCCCACTAAAAAAACAACCCCACCAAGGACCTCATATGAAGCATCCCAGCATCTTCTCTCCATCTCACACCTTCTCACACCAAATCCATGGATATTTTTCCAGTGTCACCAGTGGATTCACCTCCACAGAGACACGGTTGACATCAAACTCACCTTGAGCCCCCTTGCCATGCTCAAGGCGACTTTGAAAATGGTGGCAGCAGGGAAAGGTCCCAACCGTTCTGCGTTTCTTTCTTCAATTAAATCATTGAGTGATTTTTCTCCTCCAAACTCCATGGCCAGACACATGCTGCCATCGTTGGCCTCGGTGAACGCGCGGTAACCTGCCAACAAAGATGGAGTTGTTAAGAGAACTGAAGGTGCCACCAGCATTTCCACGTCCTGGGTTGGGTAGTTTGATGGAACCAAGAACGTTTGGAGCTTCTACTCAGGTGCTTTTTCCAGCAGCTGCAACCAACCCCAAAGAAATTCACCTCCCAAGGGGACCTGGTTCACAGCTTCACCTGGTGAGGTGAAGCCACAGGATTATCCATGGAGACCTGTGTGGCCATGAGCAGGGGTATGAGCCACAAACCTTGGCGAGGTAAAAGATCTCCCTCCTCCAGGAGGGCCCACAGACACCACCCTTGTTGCTTCCCAGGTCAGCTTTGCACCCCGTGCTGGGGCAGGGAGGTTCATCCTGATCTTTGCAGGACAGAGAACCAGGAGAAAGACAAAGAAGAAACCTTCTAGTGGCCTTCCAGTACCTGAAGGTGCCTCTGAGAAAGCTGGGGAAGAACTGGTCACAGGGACAGGGAGCAATGGGACGAGGGGTGATGGTTTTAAACTAGAAAAGGGGAGACTTAGGTTGGACATTAGGAACAAGTTCTTCAGTATAAAGGTGGTGGATCATTGGAACAGGTTGTCCAGGAGGTAGGTAGAGGATATTCAATGACTTGAATATCTCCAGTCATATTCTCCAGGGAATATGACTGGAGATATTCAAGGTCAGGCTCGATGGGGCTCTGAGCAACCTGCTCTAGTGAAGATGTCCCTGCTGATGGCAGGGGGGTTGGACTGGATGATCTTTGAGGGTCCCTTCCATCCCAAACCAGTCTGTGATTCTATGAGAAAGGGGGAAGGAGAGCAGCAGCAGATCTGCAGGACCAACATAGAATCATTTTGGTTGGAAAAGATGCTTATGGTCACCAAGTCCAACCATGAACCCAACACTGACCAGTCCCCTATGACTAACCCATGTCCCTCAGCACTGTGTCTACACGACTCTTCAATCCCTCCAGGGATGGGGACTCCACCACTGCCCTGGCCAACCCCTTCCAATGCCTCAGAACCCTTGCAGCAAAGAAATTCTTCCTCACATCCCATCTCAACTGCCCTGGCCACAACTGGAGGCCATTTCCTCTTGTCCTGTCCCTTGGGCCTTGGTTGAACAGACCCACCCCCACCTCTCTCCACCCTCCTCCAAGGGACTTGCACAGAGCCACAAGGTCTCCCCTCAGCCTCCTTTGCTCCAGGCTCAACACCCCCAGTTCCCTCAGCCACAAGGGAACTCAGCACACTTGTGCTCCAGACCCTTCCCCAGCTCCGTTCCCTTCTCTGGACACGCTCCAGCACCTCCATGTCCTTCTTGGAGTGAGGACATCTCATGTTGGAAAAATAAGGAGCTGCAGAAGCAAGATAAAGAGGAGGGGGGACATTTGGAAAAGCCAAACTCTCATCTCCCAGGGGCTGTTCCACCAGGTTATGACTGAGGTGCAGATGAACCATCACGGAATGTTTCCTCCTCCACATTTTACTCCGAGCTGTAAACAAGACTCTTGGTGTGGAGTATCAATGACCAAGTCTTGCACAATGGCACCACTAAAGTCTTCTCAATTATTTACACCACCTTCTCCAAACTGAAGCAGTGAAATATTTGCAGTGTCAAAGGTCAGGACTATCTTTGCTCTTTAAATTCCTACCAGAAGTGAGGAATGTCCCATTTTGGGGACACCAAGTTCCTTGCACGCGGCGTTTTTAGCCCCAGTGACCACACCTGAGATGGTTTAAAGCACAAATAAAGAGGAGAAGTCAAACAAAGCTGCTGCTCTGACCAGCAGAGGAGATGCTGGAGAAGATAAGAGAAGAAATTACATAGACTTAAAGCAACTTCTCAAAATATTCCTACCAAGAGCGTGACAGAGCCTGGATTGTCACCAAGGTGGGTGTCACCAGGGTGGGACCTGTTCTGCTCACAGAAACCATCTCAGGTATCACTGAGGTATCACCTCAGTAGGGTGGTCTCTCCCTTCCCTTACACCCTAAGCTAGAGCTGGGCATGGTGGTTCCTCCAGAACCAGCCCATGGCTCTTCTCCTTCCAGAGTTGCCCCACAACACAAAGAGGCATCAATCAGCCCCAGCACACTGGCCAC